AGTGAGCTGTTTAATTGTCCACTACCATTCACAACCGGATTGGCAGAACTGCAAAGCTTAGATCTGATCCGTTAGCTCTGTCTATCACTTGCTGCTTTTGCTGTTTGGCATGCAAGTAGTCCTAGGCTGATATCTCATCTTTAGGTATACCTGGTGCTGTTCCTGGCATGCCCTCCTGCACTCTCCATTGAACCAGGGTTGATCCCCTGGCTTGATGGTAACGGTAGAGGGGGGATATGCTGGGCCATGAGGTTACAGATTGTGCTGGAGTACAATTCTTCTGCTGTGAATGGCCCACAGCACCTCACAGATGCCCAGTCTTGAGTTGCTAGATCTGTGCAAAGTCTGTACCATTTAGCACGGTGATAGTGCCACACAACACGATGGAAGTTATTCTCAATGTGAAGGCAGGGCTTCGTTTCCACAAGGACTGTGCAATAGTCACTCTTACCAATACTGTCATGGACAGATGCAACTGCAGCTGGCAGATTAGTAGGGTTGAGAATAAGTATGCTTTTCCCTCTTGTTGGTTCCCTCAGCACCTGCCGCAGACCCAGTCTAGCAGGACCCGACCAGCTTGATCACTAGTACTGCTGCCAAGCCACTCTTGGTGGTGGATATTGAAATTGCCCATCCAGCATATTTTTTGTGCCCTTGCTCTTCTCAGTGCTTCCTTGAAGTGTTGTTCAACATGGAGGAGTACTGATTCATCAGCTGAGGCAGGATGGCATGTGGTAATCAGCAGGAAGTTTCCTTGCCCATGTTTAACCTGAAGCCATGAGACTTCATGGGGTTCAGAGTCAATGTTGAGGATTCACAGAGCAACATCCTCCCCACTGTACACCACTGTGCTGCCACCTCAATTGGGTCTGTCCTGCCGGTGGGACAGGACATATCCAGGGATGGTGATGGTAGTGTCTGGGACATTGTCTGTAAGGTATGATTCTGTGAGTTAGACTATGTAAGGCTGTTGCTTAACTAGCCTATGAGACAGCTCTCCCAATTTTGGCACTAACCCCCACATGTTAGTGAGGAGGACTTTGTAGGGTCAACAGCGCTGTTTCTGCCATTGTCTTTTCCGGTGCCTAGGTTGATGCCAGGTGATCCATCCAGTTTCATTTCTTTGAGACTTTGTAGCAATGTGTACAACTGAGTGGCTTGCTCGGCCATTTCAGAGGGCAATTGAGAGTCAACAACATTGCTGTGGGTGTGGAGTCACATGTAGGCCAGACCAGCTGAGGGGTGGCAAATTTCCTTCCCTGAAAGGCATTAGTGAACCAGATGGGTTTTTCCGACAATCAGCAATGATTTCGTGGTGATCAGTAGATTCTTAATTTCAGACTTTTCTTTTCCCCTAACTATTGAATTCAAATTCTACCATTTGCTGTGGTGGGATTTGAACCAGGGTCCACAGAACATTAGATAGTAGGAATTGCCAATGCTGGAGAATCTGAGATAACACGGTGTAGAGCTGGATGAACACAGCAGGCCAAGCAGAAGGGTCTCGACCCGAAACATCAGCTTTCCTGCTCCTCTGATGTTGCTTGGCCTGCTGTGTTCATCCAGCTCTACACCGTGTTATCTCTCTTTCCACAGAACATTAGCTGGGTTTCTGGATTAATAGTCTAGTGATAATACCACTAGGCCATCGCCTACCCCTATTGTGTGAATTTAGCCACTTCTTCAATAAGTTTAGTTCAGTTGTAGCATTTGACATAAGTCCCATCAATCTCTGGCTATAGTAATGTCTCCTGAACTCTTTATTGGATATTAGTGATTATGTTGTAATTATGAGCCTTAGTTTTATACTGATTCATCTATTTCGAATCACAGAATCCCTACCGTGTGGGAACAGCCCTTCGGCCCAACAAGTACACACTGACCATCAAAGCATCCCCCCCAGACCCATCCCCCTATAACCCACCTAATCCACACATCCCTGAACACTACGGATAATTTAGCATCTTTGGACTGTGGGAGGAAATCAGAGCACCCGGAGAAAACCCACGCAGACACAGGGAGAATGTGCAAATCCACACAAACAGTTACCTGAGGGTGGAATCAAACCCGGGTCCCTGGCAGCAGTGCTAACCACTGAGCTACTGTGCTGCCCTTAGTGTAAATCTACACTATTAAGTGTTTCATGTTAAGAACCCCTATTTATATCATCCTACAAACTTTTCTATAAAAAAACCAACCTGCTTAGTTATTCCTGAAAGATAAAACCTGTCAATTATGGTACCATCTTTGTCAACATTTTGAACCTTCTCCAGTGGTTTGATGTCCTTTTTGTAATCGAAGACTGCAGCTTTACACGCTGCACTCAATGATATACAGTCCAGAATAAACAAAGTTCGATACGTGCTTTAAAAAACACCCTGCTTTTAAATTCTTTTCCTTTATAAGTGAACACTAGTGCTTATTTTATGACCGTGTTCACCTGCATTGCTGTTGTTAATGATACTGAGTGACATGAATTTTGGGGTAGGTGATGGCCTAATGGTATTATCACGAGACTGTTAATCCATAAGACCTAGGTCATGTTCTGGGATCCAGGTTCAAATCCCATCATGTCGTAGTGGTAGCAGATGGTGGAACTTGAAATTTTTAAAAATCTGAAATTATGTGGCTGATGGCATTGTCGATTGTCAGGAAAAAAACCCATCTGGTTCATCGATGCCCTTTAGGGAAGGAAACTGCCATCCTTACAATGTGACTCCAGACCCACAGCAATGTGGCTGACTCTTAACTGCCCTGTAGAATGGGCAATAAATGCTGGCCTAGCCAGAGGCACACTTATGAATGAATTACATCCAAAACCCTGCCTGAAATTAAAACGGTCTCATGCTAGTTAGAGAGCACCATATATCAAATTCAGGCAAATGTGGGCAATGCTGAACATGCATATGAACAAACAGCAAAAGTAGAACACCTGATCACTCAAGTCTGCTCAGCAAATTTAATAAGGTAATGATCCGATTCGATTGTAACCTCAACTTCATTCCCAGATATCTCCAATAGCCTTCTGCATCCTTGTAAATGTCTATCCACCTCCATCTTAAAAAATATTTAAAGATTCTGCTTCTACCACCTTTTTAGGAAGAGAGTTCCATAGATTCATGACCATCTTATGGGAGAAATTTCTCATCTGTCCTAAATGAGTAATCCCCTTATTTTTAAAACAGTGACCCCAAATTCTCGATTCTTCAACAATAGAAAACATCCTCCCCACATCTACCTTGTCAGACCTCCTTAGTATCGTATATGTTTCAATCAAATCACCTCTTACTTTTCTAAAGGTCACCAGTTACAAGCGTAGCCTTTCCAACACATAATCTATTCATTCCAGGTTATAGTCTAGTAAACCTTCTTTAAACTGCTTCCAACACATTTATATCCTTCTATAAATACAGAGATCGATGCTGTACATAGTTCTCCAGATTTGGTCTCAGCATTGGCCTATTTAACAGAAGACCACCTTCCCTACTTTTGGGTTCTATTACTCTTATAATAAATGATAACATTCTCTTAGCTGTACCTGCATGCTAGCCTTTTCTGAACCATGCACTAGGATACCCAAATCCCTCTGCTTCACAGAGCTCTGCAGTTTCTCACCATCTAGATTACATGCTTTTATTTTTACTGCCAAAATGGGCAATTTCACATATTTTCTCATATTATACTCCATTTGCCACATCTTTGCCTACTCACTTAACCTATCTACACCCCTAAGAGCTCCTAATATTCATTTCACAATTTACTTTTCTACATATCTTTGTTTCATCAGCAAACTTAAGAGCCATATCTTTGGTCCCTTCATCCAAGTCAGCTATATAAATTGTAAAATGTTGAGGTCCAATCACTGATATCTGGGGCACACCACTCATTACATCTTATCAACCAGAAACAGACCCATTTATGCCTATTCCATGTTTCCTTTTGGGTAACCAATTTTCTAACCATGCCAATATGTCATTACCTAAAACTTGATCTTTTATTTTCTGGTTTACAAGTTTTCAGTTGTACCAGTCGTGATCAGTCCAAGGAATCAAGTTCCAGAAAAACAAACATTCATACAATGCCGGAAATGCCCGGCACCAGAGAACCCATCTATTAGAAGCTTGCTCTTTTGGTATTGGTGAAGGATTCATGTTATCCAAGACACTTGGAAAACTCCTACATTTTTTTCAAATTGTGCCTTGGCGTCTTCTACATCTAGTTTAATGCTCATCCAGGATGCAGTATACACAGCAATGTATCCTGCTCTGAAATGTCAGTCTAGGTTGTGTATTGGGGACTTTGATTTGAACACATTGCATGTTTGTGCAAGACAGAAGCACACAAAAGGATTTGGTTTAATTTAAAAGTGTGCTTCAGAAGCTCTGGGCAAGTATGCTGCTCATTCATATGGATATCACCAGTTTTCATTAACTTGCACTGGAAATATGATTATTTATAAACAGCACAAAGGTGTGGTTGTGAAAAGTGCAGGTATATAAATTCAATTAAAACAAATTATTGCACAGCTACCTGCTGATGAAAACGTACTTTTCAATAAAAGCACTTTTCCAGCGATAGCAAGGTATTAGGCAGGTTCAACACAAAAGGGCAAGTAATAAAGTCTAAATTAGGGCTACAGTCCTTGTATGTGAATGCACAAAGTGTGGTAAATAAAATTAATGAGTTGCAAACACATAACCATGTGGAAATATTTTGTGGTGATAACAAAGACCAGGTTTGGTCTAGGCATTAAATATTCCAGATATGAAGTGTGCATCAAAGGTGGAAAAGGAGACGAATTAGCAGTACAGAATGTCTGCTGACATCAGGTATCCAATGATAAATACTGACTGTGCATACTCACCTCTGATTATTTTTAAGTGTGCACTTGTAATATAAAGCTGACATTTTATAAAATTTTAAAAAATTTACCTTTTTAAGTTTTTTTTCTCTTCACCTATACTCTTTTCTTTTTTTTTTAAGTATTTTTAAAGATTGTATTAATCTTTATTTCAATTTATTTTAAAGATTTCATTGCTACTACACATGCTCATGGGTGTCAACAAATAATTGCCCATCCTGAATCACCCTTGTGTACGTGGTGGTCAGCTGCCTTCTGACAGTTCTGCAGTCAGTTTACTGTAGATATGTCCACACTGCTGACTGGAAGGCAGTTCCAGGATTTTGTCCCATCAATAATGAAGGTACAGCGATTTAGTTCCAAGTCAGGATTTTATGTGGCTTGAAGGGGAACTTGCAGGTGATGGTGTTCCCATGTATCTGCTGCCCTTAGCCTTCCACATCACAGGTTTGGAAAAGGAGATGGTTCAAGCATAGAATCTATTTGGCTAGAGCCAAGGAATAAAAAGGTGCAATTACATTGCTGGGTATAGTCCATAAGTCACCAACAACTGGGAAAGATTTAGAGCAATAAATTTGCAAGGATATTGAACAGAAGTGCAAGATATACAGAGTTGGAGGGCTTTAATTATCCAAACAGACTGTGAAAGCTTGTAAAGGGCAAAGAGGAGCAAGAATTTTGACAGTATGTTCAGGAGATTTTTTTTTATACAGCAGTGTGTTTCCAGTCCAATGAGAAAGATGACCTTGATGGACCTGGTTCTTGGGGAAGATCCGAGTTAAGGGAGTAAGTGTCAGGAAGAGAACAGTTATGGAACAACGATTATTGCATTATAAAAGTGTCCTTTGCCATGGCTAATTTAAAAAGAAATACAATAATAATGAACCGGAAGAAAGCCAACTTCAGCTGGGTAGGAATGGATATACCCCAGATAACTTTGAATCAACGATGAACAGGTAAAATTGTAACTGAACACTGGGCTGCTTTTAAAGCAGAAATAATTCAAGTACAGTCAACATATATTCCCATAGGGGAGGAGGTAGGGCAAACAAATGTAGAGCACTGTAGATGACCAAAGAGTTAAAAATTAAGATGAAGCAGAATGTGTGTACTTATGACAGATATAAGGTGGATAATACAATTCGGAAGCAGGCCAAATAAAAAGGTACAGAAGGGAATTGGGAAAGCAAATAAAGGCAGCAGAAAGACAGAATGAGAAGATAGTGCTAGTTAACATAAAAGAAAATCAAAAAGCCTTTATAGGTATATAAATACTAAGGGTGCCAAGAGTAGCATGGGGCCAATTAGAGACCAAAAAGGCAGCTTATTCATGGAGGCAGGGGCATGCCTGAATTATTGAACGAATGTTGTACATCTGTCTTTACCAAGGAAGACATTGCTGCCTACATCATGCTGAAAAGATGAGGTCGTTCAGACACTGGAAGAGTTTAAATTCATTAGGTTTTGGCATTGGACACACTGTTTTAAAGTCAATAAGATACCAGGACAAAATGAGATGAATCCAAAGATACTGAAAGAAGTGAGATGGAAACTACAGAGGTACAGATCATCAGTTTCCAATCTTCTTTACATTTGAGAGTGGTTCCAGAATTGTAAATATTTCATCCATTTTCAAAAAGGGTGTAAAGATAAGTCCAGCTACTCAAGGCCAGTGTGAGGAAGAATGCAGAGACCGTATAAACGATATTGTTGTGAAGCGGGTGCATGGTGGTGCATAGGAATCGCATTCTCTCATAAAACATATGACATTCTGGGCTATATGAACAAGAGGTGCAGAGTAAAAAAAGTCACAAAATTCTGTTAATTATGTATCGATCACTGACTCAACCTCATTTACAGCATTGTGTCCATTTTTTGGCATCCTGCTTTAGGAAGGATACAAAGGGCATTACAGAGGATGCAGAAGAAACAGTTCAGTAAAATTGTTTAAGGGTGTGGAACTTCAGTAATATAGAAACATTGGAGAAATTGGGTCATGTTGAGAGGTTTGAAAGGAGACTTGATAATGGTATTCAAAATCATAAAGGTTCCAAACAGAGTTGATAGGGAAAAACTGTGGAAGGATAGAGATCCATAAAGGACATATTTAAGATAATTGGCAAAAGAAACAATACCAACATAAGGAAAAGTATTTCACATACAGCAAGTGGTGAGGATCTGGAATGTTTCAGAGATAGTAGGAACTGCAGATGCCGGAGAATCTGAGATAACAAGCTGGATGAACACAGCAGGCCAAGCAGCATCAGAGGAGCAGGAAGGCTGATGTTTCAGGCCTAGACCCTTCTTCGGAAATGGGGGAGGGGAAGGGGGTTCTGAAATAAATAGGGAGAGAGGGGGTTGCAGATAGAAGATGGATAGAGGAGAAGATAGGTGGAGAGGAGACAGACCG